ATATATATATATATATATATATATATTGGATGACATCTTTTGATATATTTTGAGAAGGTTTTTATCATAAAACCGAGCTACTCTTAATACAAGACAAATACAACTAATGGAATTGTAATAAAAGGTGTTACATATATCGAATTTATAAAAGAAAAAGAGGGGAAAACGGAGATGGTTAAGGTAGGGAATACATTAATTTACAAGAAAAAAATAACCTGATAAGTGATCCAACGATAACTGAACTTCATGTCCACGCTTGAAAAATAAAATACGATCTCTACCCCAAGTTACATTATAGTTTTCATCAAAACTCGCATCTCTTGCTGCATCAGTCAGCAAGAATAATATTTTGAAAAAAATGACCATCATCGTTGTGATCTGCCATGAACGAGAACCCATGTAATCAACGAAAATAAACTGCAAATATTACTAAAAAGCCCCTAAATATTAACTTGTTTGTGTGTGTTTTTGGTGTGTACAAATGAATGGGATTATATATAGTGTGTACATCTTTGGTTGGTTTCAGTTTCTCCCATGCCCATAACAACATGAGGGTTAGTTTGGGGAAATCACCTTGTGGATTCAACTCCAATTTCAGGTTATTTTTGCTATGAATAGGAAAATTAATATCAAATACTGCAAATATAGTTAAATAATAACTTAATTATATTTTAGATTTTTTATATTTAAAATAAGATGTTTATCCTGTATTTGATTGTGTTTATCTGCAGTTAGTTACATGAATTCAGTTATGGGATGAAATCGGATAGGGATGAACGGGTTTAAGAGTTTTAAGAGTTTAAGAGTTTTTAAGAGTTTTAGTCAAATGCATTATAATATAGTATAGATATACACATTCACACATACATATGGTTGGGTTCACGTGAGACCAACATGTTTTCGTGAGACCATATTTTTACACTTGAAACTTCACAGGAAAACACTATGAAGGTAAAAAAAAATGTCGAACCTTCACAGCAAAAACATTGTGAAAGTTACATTTACAGCGTTTTGTTATGAATTTCAAGTGTAAAAATGTGTTCTCACGGGTCTCACGAAAACAGGCTGGTCTCATGTGATCCCAAGTCGACACACATATGTACATATACATATACATATATATATATATATATATATATAT